CTATACTTTTTGATAGCCGGGCACCATCAGCTTTCTTCACCACATTTGCTTATGCACCCATTTGTCTTCAGTGATCCGTTTGACACCCCGTGATCACACAGGTTGATATGTGTGTTTGGGTTTTTTTTTTGGGGGGTGGGGTTTGGTTTAAATGTTAAGTCAGTCCTTATAAGTCCTTCCCAATGCAACTGGAAAATAGCTTTTCAAAAAGTTTTAGGATGCAAATCAGTAAAAATATACACACACCAGAACAATATCCACTGTACTTCCTTTTGCTAAAAAAATTTTTTTTTTTTTGCTAAATAAATTTTGTCTGTTCGTCTACTTAGCGACATGTGGCAGTCTCTCAGGGCTCTGTGCAGCACCATGGGGCTACCGAAGCCCTTTGAATGAATGTCAAAGCCCTGGGGGCACACTGGGTTATGTGTTGAGCTGCTACCTGTAAATTCAGCGGGTCAGAACCACCAGCCGCTCCGTGGGAGAAAGAGGAGGTTTTCTCCTCCAATAGAGTTACAGTCTCAGAAACCCACAGGGGGCAGTTCTACCCTTTCCTTTGGGGTCACTGTGAGTCCTCATGGACCCGGTGGTGGTGAGTCTTGTGTGATGATTGCATGGTATCACACAGAGAACCCGCCTGAGACTGGGTTTCCCATATAGCTTCCTGGGTAGGGACGAGGGCAGCAACCTCCCTTTACTTCCCCTTTTGCAACCCTAAATTTTGTAATCACAAAAACAGAAACCACTGAAGAAATGAAATGCTATTCTTACAATCTGTGGCAACAAAAATGGCTTCTCTTAGAGGACCGTTGAATTGCACAATGTCAAAGTTTTTCGTGTGGCTGTTTGGGCAACCATCTTGCCAGTACAGCGGTGTCTGCTCAGAGGTCTGACTGGCCAAGACTCAGAACGGCTGTCTAGCCTCTGCCTCACCCAAGTGGCTCTGCCTGAGGGCCAGAGATGGGCCAAGGGAGGCTATGGAAATGTTGGGAGTCACACAGGCTCCTCCAGGGTCATGAGCCCCTGCACCCATGATCCTGCTGCACCTATTTCTGGAGCAGAGAACCCCACCTTTGAGACAGATCAGTACTTCCTGCAAAGAGTGAGCACCATGCCCAGTGCATTTCACTTCCGCTTCAGCTTGGTGAAAAGCTAGATTACAGAGAGGAGGTGGCCACTTTCTCAAGCGGAAGTGAGAGGAAACACTATGGGAAGAGCAGGACTGTTATGGCCACAAGATCAGGGGATCTTCAGAAGAGTAGCAAGAAGATGGGGGCTTGAGGTCCACAGGCAGGTGGCAATAGTGTGTGGGCTACCCCTGTCCTTTGCACTGGCTTGGGTCGCTAAGGTCAGTATGGGTCTTGGAAGGATTGGGGCTGAGGGCTGAAAGAGGTTTAACATGTTAGAATTCCCATTTATACCCAGTTCCAGAGGTTCCTGGGCATAGAGAGCTCCCAGGCTGTGGAAACAGCTCCCAAACTGGCCCTGCCAGGATGCCAGCCCGACACTGGGGACGGGGTACCTTGCTCCTCTTGACATAGGAATCCTCTTCATAAACATCACGGGACAGTCCAAAATCTGAAATCTTCATTTTCCTCCCCTCGGCTACCAGGACATTTCGAGCTGCCAGGTCACGGTGAACAAGCTGTAAGGAAGTGAATCAATCACAGGAGAAGAGAATCAATCATCACAGGATCTTCTCAGCTAGCACCCAGCAAGGCGTGCACCGGAGTAGGAAGGTAGCAAGCCCCATGGCTGCACGCACCTTCATCTCAGCCAGGTATTGCATCCCACGAGAAATCTGCCAGGCGAAGGAAATGAGGTCGCCCATGGTCAGGGCTCTCTCATCAGGGTTGTCTAGGTAGCTGGAGTTTCGGCTGCTGCCGCTGCCCACGTAGCTGGGCCCCACCTTACGGCTTTCTCGGAGGAAGCCCCGCAAGGAGCCATACTTGGCGTACTCCACAATGAGGAAGAGGGGCCCTGGGGAGAAGAGAGGGAAAGCAGTGCATGGCTTGCAGCAAAGCCAGCTGGTCTCCCAGGAGGGAGTCAAACAGCTGTGGGGAAAGTGGCACTGGAAGCACAGGGGGTTGGGCCCCGGGGAAAACAGGCTCCGCCATCCCGAGGAAGGGACAGATGGACACAGCCATCTTGCGCATTGAGAGACTTAAGGCACCATGAAAGCACATGGGTGTGAGAATTGCATGCGACCATTTGGAAGTAGACCACCAGGTCTTTCTTCCGCATAGATCGGAACTGTAAACCTTTCCGTTAGTAGTAAAAATTTTAACTGCCCCCTTCAAGGATACAAGAGTCACAGCTGCTCTGAAGTCACTTCCACTCCATCTTCAACTGTGGAATTGGTGCCCTGGGCAGGGAGCCCAGCCTTCTCCTAGGATGCCCCAAGGAAGGGACCTGTGATTCATCCTACCCTTGGTGGATGCTTGAACTGCCAGAGGAGAAGGAAGACGACAGGTGCTGAACCTTTAAGGGGCTTGCAGACCTGAAGGCCCTGTCCAGAGTCCATACAGCTGGGGTCTCTGTCTTTGTGAGGCCTGCTCCCATGTCCCCAACACCAGGTTCTCTGCTCTTGCCAGCTTTGGGGGCTCTACCCTGCCCTAGGTCAGTAGTGTCCTGCTGCAGGCTCACTGGAATCCTGCAGCAGAGCTAGCCAACAGACCAGGCGCCTGAGAAATGGTGACACGACTCCACCATGCAGGTCTGGGACCTGGGGAAGGAGAGTTGTGTTTTGGAATTCACAGCAGGTTCAGGACATAGGGGGTGCTTGGGGTGCATGCCCATTCTTGGAGCTCCCTTGTTTTGGATGATTAGCCCAGGGCATTGCTCTGATCATGGCCAGGCATCACTGTAAAAGCACCACACATAGCCCTCTCCATACTTCTCATGAAAGCACACCAAAACACCAAGTAAGAAAGGCCACCCACAGAAGCCACTTCGGGGAGGAGGAGGAGCTGACTGCCCAGTGACACAGGAGGAGTCAAGTCCAGTGAGGAAGTTCAGCTAAAATGACATGGATGAGAGGCAGGGATAGGTGAGAGGAGGAGTGGGGGTTCCCAGGGCCCATGCTGGCCTACCGTCCTGGCTGCAGGCCCCATGCAGCTTGATGACGTGGGGGTGGTTGACCTGCTTTAGGAGGTTGAACTCTGACAGCAGGTCCCGCAGCTCACTTGGGGAGGCATTCTCTGAAATGCAGCACACACAGAGTTGGTTTCTCGTGGGTCCCTCTAGATTCCCATCTGCCATCACTGCAGGCTTGGGACAGAATCTTGGCTATTTCTGTCACAAGATCCCTATGCACAAGATTCCATGCAGAAGGCCCTAAGGAACTGGCTTCTGAGGCTCCTCCTAATCCCTGGAGCTAGTTAACTGGGACCCTATCTTGCCTTCCTGGGGGAAAAACAACCTTGTGGGGTGGGGGGTGGGACAGATTTCTGCGTGGCAGGCAGGGCTGTGTGTGTAAACATTTCGTGTTTCTAGGAAGACAGAAGTCCTCGGAGATACCCCCCCGACCCGCCCCGCAACCCCAACACCACTGACCACGGATCAGCAGTGAGATGGGCCCCGAGGGAGGAGCTCACACAACCCTGCCATGGGCCCCTGCACCCATGATGCCATCTAGAGTTTCCTAGAGCCTCTATAAGGCACCTGTGGAGGGCCCAGGGACACCCACAACTGCCTGTCATGTCTGTGCCACACTCAGCTCAGCTTTCTTCAGTTCACTGGCACAGAAAATCTGACATTTGAACTCTTGACCCGAAGCCAGTAACCAGTCAGCAGCACGCGGGCTGCTTTGGTGTGAGGATTTGGGTTAAGAACAAAAACACTATGAAAAGTATCCGTGCATTCGGCACTTCATGAAGGTGAGTGCGGGCATCTTACCACGCAATTCCACTATTGCTGAGGGAACCCACGTGTGCTTTGGCACCTGTCACACTTGAGCAGGCTGGTTCCTCTCTGGTGCATGGTCATACCTCCACCCCTTGTGGCCCCAGTCCTGTCCCACACTGCTGTCTATGCCTCACAGATTTTTTAATCTGAAAGCTAGGGGCCAGCTGGGATCAGGGCTCCTTTGACCCTGGTGCTTGGATTATCTGGGGGACTTGACAAGCACAGGACATTCCACTGTGGGGACCTGGGTGAGCACCAGCTGTCTTCACTAGCCTCACTGCATCGAGGTTATCCTCCCAGCCACAGTGACACTGTCATACGCGGGTGTATGTCATGTGTAGGCTGGTAGTGTGACGGTAGGCCTGTCTGAGCTCCACTGAAAGACCTTGGTCTTTCTACCAGACCTAAGAGTTGAGAAAAGTAGTAGAGATAGTTCAAGGGCAATACTGGCCCAAAGTAGAAAAAGTTTTACATTTTGTTAATCTTCATCCAGAGTTGGTGGCAAATCAGCGTCACTTAAAAGTCTTCGAAGGAGGAGAAGCATCCTCAGCTACTTCTCTGTGGACCTGGTCCCCTCCTCTGTGAGGTGTGACTGACTGAGGTGTCCCTAGACTTTAGCTACCGAAAACAGCAGAAAGGGTCTTTGAGAAGTCCCCTGCATGCAACAGGGACCGCTGGGCTTATTATTGGACCTCGCTTAAAAGCAGCAGTGAAATAGGCTATGGCATTCCAGGTGTGCACAAGAAAGCCCCCATGACGGTTCCCACATGGGGCAAGTGTGCACGACAGAGCCCTACACCCGCATGCGATAGGAGTGCTTGGAGGAACCCTGCACTCATGTTTGTGCTAGGCTAGATGTGCATGAGGAGCCCCGAATCTCCACCCACAATGCCATGAGCACCTTTCAGCATCTTCACAGCCACGGTCGTGTAGCCTGCTTTGCCTTTGAGCCGGAAGGCTGTGGCCTTCACCACTTTTCCAAATTCACCTTCTCCCAGAGTTTTGCCAAGGACCAAGTTTTTCCTAGGAAACTCCCACTTTGGGTCCTCCTACATTGGGATTGAAAGAAAAGAGTAATGGCAGAAAGGAGAGTGGGGCGAGCTCATGTAACAAAACAGGAAGGCACATCTTGTAAATGGACAGGTACCCTGCTCCATGGAGCTAACTGACCATAAGCACAGCTAACACACAGTGAGCACCATCTCTGCAGATGGTGGGACCTGCAACCAGTCTGACGTCAGTGCTACAGGAAGGCCGTCCTGCATAGAAGGCAGGAGCCAGGTAGAACAACACAAACTCAGGGGACCAGTTACAGGCTTGGCCCTTAGCCCCACCCTCCCACGTGCTGAGGTGGACTGAACCTACCTTGGGCCACTCCTGCCTGCTTCTGGTCACTCTGGCAGTTATACCAACTGTGTGCTCAGAGCAGGGGGCTCCGGCACGCTGGAAGTTATATGTTTCACATCACTGTCACTCCTTCCCAAGATAGATTTTCTGTCCCCTTAGTGAGACCTCGACGGGACACCAGGCCGCAGCAGTGTAGACCGCCTCCCTCCTGTCCAGGCCTCTGGAAGGACTGAGTCTGCATCCTAGGCCCAGTAGTGGAGGCGTCCCTGTGTGTCTGAGTGGCAACCTTTCCCAGTGTGGGTGAGGTTTTTCTTCCACATGCTGGCACATACCATGTTCTTCTATACGTTCTACTCTCTTGCCCAAAATCTAGTCTATACTTCAGGCCTGCTTAGAATTGTTCTAGAAGCTCTCCAAAATCCCAGCTCCCCACACTCCGCACTTTTGAAATCCCCACTTGTGTGCCAACACCTTTCAGAACTGAGTTTCCCTTCTGTACCTACCACCCAGTGTAGGTGTAGTGTCAATTTCATCCCACCATGATTTCTATTAGTCGATTTCTGCCACAGAGATGGTACAAATTCAGACTCAGGACAAGATGCTATCTGTTACCTGCTTGTGCCGCCTATTGGCAGAAGGATCATGCCAATTCATCCCTGGCATTCCCAAGAACCTAGGTAGGGTACTAACCATGAGTTGGCACTGAAATGTTGCCCTTGTCACCACCACTGCCACGAACATTTAATAACATTCTGTACCATAGATACACTAAGTAGGAGCAGGAACATCAGCTAAATTCTTTTAAATGCTCCCCGCTTTATGTAAGACAGCACAGGCTGAGAAGCTAATTCACGTGTCTACAACTTCAGAGTCAGAAAGTGTCGCAATCTGTACCAGGCAGAGCCCTGAGCAGGGGCCACCTGGGGGCCTGGTGGGGTTGCACTTCCACCCATGTCAGCCTCTTCCCGCACCGTCCCTTCGGAGCAGTCACACAGCACACTACTAGCTGCCTGACAGAACCAAGCACACATCCAGCAGGCCTGCTGTACAGGCCAACCTGCGGACAAGGAGGCCCGCAGTCCCAGAGCAACCAGAGCAAACCATGAAGTCTGAGCCCCACAGTGGCCACTGGGCATCCCACCAGGACCTAGACCCTCAGCAAGGCTTGGTGTATCACCCAAGCCAGGCCATACAGTGGCCCCACAAAACAAGGCCAGTGACTCAAGGTGAGCCCACTGGGTGCAGTACATGCAAGTCCTCAGCCTCCCCCCAGCTCCCATATAGCGAAGCTCAAGGGCCAGTATGCACACCACGCATATACACACATATGCACACCCTAGACATGCACACATACAAAATGCACGCATGCACATATTCACACGCATACATGTATGCCTGCACGTGCGCACGCTCACGCACACACACACACACACACACACACACACACACACACACACCCCTCACACCCTAGCCTCTGAGCATGTTCCCACATTCCCTTCAGAAACCAGGGTCCAGTTCCTCAGACAACCTTAAGGGGTAGGTCTATCGGTGCAGAAGGCAGAAGCGGCCCAACCACAGGCCTGCAGCATGACCAAGGAAGATGCCGAGGCCCCTGGGAGGTGCTCCCGTGACTCTGCGGATGACAGGCTAACCCGAAGGGCCAGCCCTTTCCTACTTGGGCCTTGGGATGCCCAGAGAGGAGACAGGCATTAGATGCCACGGCTTTCTCTTCCAGCAGCAGGCTTGCGCTGCCTCAGCGGCCTTTGAGGCCGTTCATGCTTACTTCAGGTTGCAGGCAACCTCTGCGTTGGAGCGGCACCCACCACAGGATGCTCTGCCATGAACAAGGCCATGGTGAAGTCCTTGGCACTAACTCTTGCCTGCCCCAGGACAGGGGTCCCAATTTCCACACCAATGCCATTCTCTCCTCGGCAGAGTTGACTATTGAAACAGGGGAATGGGTCCCTCCTCTGCTACCTGGTCCCCAGGGGCCCCAACTCCCTGGAGATTATAATCCAAACCCCTATGGGCTTGACACCATACATCCTTCTTTTCCAACCTTTGGAGAGACCTCCCCAGGACCCTCCCAGGCTTCTCCCTGGTCTGGGCGGACCTGTCCTCAAATCACAGTGTGCCTAAACTTCACTCCAAATTGCCTCCAAGCCCCCAGAGCCCTGAGAGTTGGCACTGCATGCTGGCCTTGAGTAGGCTCCTCAGGAAGCCTGGTTGTCTGAGGACGCGGAGAATAGGTCCAAAGTGGCAGGGAGCCCTGCAGCCAAGAAGCCACCTCTGCTGCAGGCCCACTATGGTACCTAGATCTTTCCTTCGGGGGGGCGGGGTGAGAAGTGGGGGGTGGCTTACCGGAATCTTGAAGGTGTCCACTGCGACCTGGTTCTCCATGGAGTCCAGTGAGGGTCGGCGGGCACCAGATGAAGAATAGCTGACTGGGAAGGCCTGGGCAGGCCGGCGGAAAGTCATCTCAGCGGAGGCAATGGGTGGCTTGTGGGCATTCTTGTGGTAGCGGTGGATGCAGAAGGAGGAGAGCAGCACGGAGACGATGAAGGAGAAGAGGACGGCGGCCGCGATGACTGTGCGGCAGAGCTCATCACACAGCGCCTCTGTGGGCAAGGCCTGTGTGAGCCTGGGTCCAGGGGCCCAGGGGCACCTGCACGAGCCAGGCCAATGGTGGGGGCTGCGGGAGAGGGTCTCAGCAGCCTGGTGAGTGAGTACGAACTTGAAGGTAGTGAGAATAATGTAACCATGTCAAAGAAGCTGACGGAGGGGGTGTACCACATGCACACGCTTACGATGGCCGCATGGTGCCAATTGCCCACACATGGCTGAGAGGCACAGAAATGCTGCCCACTCCACACCACGACCAAACAGTTTCAGCCAGGCCCCCTACCAGGACCTGGAGGGTGGGCGGGAGACATAGCTTTTCTCTCTCTTCCAAATACCTCCGGTACTTGCTTTACTTAAAACAACAACAACAACATCACAAGGAAAATGAAACAAAGAAAACCTGGACCAACTTCTTGTTGCATAGAGAGAGAAACTGAAGCCTAGGCTCACAGTCTGACTCAGCGCTCAGGATTTCTTCCTTTCCTGGGACCTCAGAATTGCCGATAGGAATCCTGCCTGGGGTTTGAGGAAGATGTGGTAGCACAGGATGGGGGCCTTGCCCAAATGCACTCTGGTCAAGTGCCTAGCCTGTAGCAGGCTGCTACTTACCCTGGTTGTCTTCTGGCTCACAGAAGCACTTCTTTTCCTCAGGAAAACAGTTGCAGATGCCATGGCCAGCTTTAATTCCCCGACGCTCCCCTGGTTCATGGCCACCAATGATGCTGCCCCCTAGGGATGCAGGCAGTCTCTTCAGCTTCCCAACAAGGCTTGCCAGCCCTAGGTCCCCTGACCTCAAGTCTGAGGTGCACAGCAGCACAGTAGGCCAGAGGGGAGCAATGTGTGGAATATGGCAGGCCAGGGGAGCAGGGTGTGTGTGTCCAAGAGGGGTGTGGCCCGGACCACTCAGAGCAGGCCTTGCAGGTTCCCAGAGGAGGAATAGAAGGATGGCTAGGTGGGGAAGCATGGACTGAGCGAGATAGCAGGGCAGGAAGGCTGTGCCAATCAGCTTGCAGGAAGGTGTGGAACACCCTGGCCAGGTCCCAGACCCTGCACTTGGGCAGAATCTTTGACCTCAGTGAAAGACAGGGCCTGCCAGATACAGCACAGGAGTGTCTCCTGGCTGGGCCCACATCTGCCTCCTCCCACCTTGGCCATATCCCTGTGGGCTCTTACGGAGGCAATCCTGAGGACAAATGTGCAAGTCCTTGCTTTCCACAGCATCGCAGTGGCCATCAGGGCAGGTCCTGATGCTAGGGGAGCATGTTGAAAAGTTCCTGGTGATCCCTGCAATACACAACAGGCTGATCAATGCTATGTCAGCAGGCTTCCTCCCAGGCTTATTGGGAAGACCCCTGGTGGGAGCCCTGTTATATTCCCCCCGATGGCCCGGTCAAACGCCCAGGGTCAGGGCTGGCCCAGGTGCTTATGAGCCAGTGGTGCCCACTAGGGAGGAAGAGCTGAGGCCTGCATGTGGGTAGGCACAAGGTGTGGTCCTGAGCACATGCTGGCCAGGAAACAAGGATTGGACTCACGGTCCAGGGACTTCTTCCAGGAGAGGACACCAAGACCTGCAGGACCCTCCCAAGGCCCCCCAGTGCACGGGAGCCATTGTAGTCATGGCCCTGCCTGGCCCGGGACTAATGGGAAAGCCTCTGCTGCTGAGCAGGGGATAGCAGGAGCCACAGGAGGGCGGGGGCACCCAGAGAGCACAGAACAGAGAAGGCCCCATATGGAGGTCGTGGGGCTCATGTGGACCCCAACTCCAAGTAACCCTTGGCTGCTGGGCCCCTCCCAGCCTGCCCCTGCAGGGGGCCTACCTTTGCCTTCACCCTGTCTCCACTCGCACCTGCCAGTCAGGGAGCCCAGGCCACTGCACTCCTCACATTCAGGGCGCCGCTTGCTGACTGCACAGGACAGAGGGCAGCCAGCCGCCTCCGCCACGTCTGTGAGGGTAGACAAGCAGTGTCACGTGAAGCTGCCAGTACAGAGCAGGCTAGGCTGTTAGGCAGCCAGGGGGAGGCACAACTCAGGACCAGGCAGCCGAGCTGGTATGGGGGTAGGGCACAGGGCAGTGATGGATTATGGGGCAGAGAGCTCTCCAAATGTAGTGGCACCTGCCTAGTGTATCACACAGCCACAAACAAAGGACCACTTCTGGGGTAAGCACACTATGGGATATATGTGTGGGCAGGGGGTGGGAGGAATGAAGCAAAGATAGGGAACCAGGGACTCAGCAGAGCAACACATGCATTCTCTGATTAGCTCTGAACTTCAGATAAAGAATGAGCAATAATAGCGCAAGGGACATGCTTAAAACATTGTTTTCCAAAGGAAGACAAACTAGGGCATCTACAAATGCTGCATGGGATATACTTAAACTCTCTGCTGTTTATCTGAAAGTCCCATTTAACTAGATCCCAAGGTTTGGTCTGGCAACCTAAGTCAAGTGCATGTCGGGATTCCATCAAAGGCAGTGGTGCTGGTGGGAAGCAGCAGCTGGTGCTAAGGTCGGGGTGAAGCTATTCACATTCTTCCCATCCAATCCTTCCTGTGTGGCAATGAGGTGGGACCTATTGCTGGGAATGGGCAGGGGGCAGACTTGGTATGGAGGAGTCTCCAAGGGTGTGCAGGGGAGCTGGGACTACAGAAGGAGGCTGCTCTACACCCACCTGTGCTTGTCCTGTTGGAGTCCCTGTCCCAGACCCCAGGCCCAGGCCCCGCCCAGATACCCACGACCTCGGCACTCACATGTCCCCTCCACTGTGATGAGCAGCTGCACCTGGGCTTGACTACGCGTCTGTCTGTCAGTGGCCACCACAACGTATTGGAGCTCAGCACATTCGGGCTGCCTCAGGCTCTCCGCGTCGCTCACAAACAGGGTCCCAGTGGTGTCCTCTGCTGAGGTGACCACCCCCAGGGTGCTGCAGTTGGGCACAGGGGGCTGCAGTTTATACTGGATGGGGATGCCACTGAACTCTGGGCAGTGCTCCACGCATACCTTCCCGACCTAGGCAGAGGTACAGGTGTTTCAGCCAGGTGCAAAGGCTCTGTGGCAGTGGGATTGCCTGACAGCCCCTGGCCTAAGGCCTAAACCAGTGGTCAGTACTTCCCCTAGAAATTCTATCCTCTGTCCCTCTGCCCACTTGATGCACAGGTTGACCGTGGTGCTCAGGTCCTGGCATCACCCACTCTTGACCTAGGAACCAGATGCTTCCAGTAGGGGGTGAGGGTAGCAGGTTTGGTGGCAGGCAATGACTCAGGCAGGTCTTCTAACAAGATATTGCTCCCTTCCTTCTATCAAGAGATGCACACCCCTGTGCTACAGCCCCTGCTCTCAGAGAGATGTGTTCAGTGCTGGATGAAGCAATCAAAACCTTGAGTTCCTGGTACGCACACCCAACCCCTCTAAAAGCAAATAAACAAGTAAATATATCCCTATGCCAGCAAAGGGTAGAAAGTGATGGGTAGGCGAACTTTAGAGAAGGCGGTCAGGGAAGCAGCTCTCTGGAGGTAAAGTAAAACTTTGAACGAGCCAATTCTGGGGGAAACCAATTTTCCAGGTGGCAGAAACAGCAAGTGCCAAAGTCCCAGGGAAGGATGGCTGCAAGTATCTGAGAAGGAGAGAAATGGCCCTTACAGGGCCCCATTGGCTTTGTGCTCAGACTTTCCTCCTGTCTTGCCCCGTTGGCGGAAGACACAAAGCCTGGCAGCGGCGCCCAACAACTCAGGGCAGAGAAGAAGTGCTCCATAGGACTTGTGAGGCTATAAATCTTTAGGGAACCAGATCACCTCATCTTCCTGTCGAGGAGCTGGTGGGTTCCCACCACCACCTTTTCAATTAGCAGCCCAATGCTTAACCCGCTGCACCATCAGAAGTCCTTCATCTTTACTATAATTCATGGCAATTTGTGATCATGTGATACTAGAAAATCCAGACGAGTCCAAGCAACCTTGATACAGCAGTGTGTGTGTGTGTGTGTGTGTGTGTGTGTGTGTGTGTGTGTGTGTGCGCACGCATGTGTATGTGTTTGCCTGGTCAAATATTGGACCTAAGGAGTGTCTAAGTATCTGAGAGGCTCTAGGAAGGGCCTGTCATTGGGGTAGAGGCTTTGGACTGAAGTGAGTGCTGATAGGTAGGAACTTGGAGTCTAATAGCACAGGATGAAGTCCTGGAAAATCCCCGTCCTCCTGGTGCTTTTGATCCCAGAGTCTCTGAGCCATGGTGGCCTCTCGCTGCTGGTCCTTCCTTGCTCCTCTGGCTACCAGCTTTGGGGGGTCCGGTTCTCTCAGAGCTGCTCAGTCCAGTCATTCAGAGATCTGTGCCTTGACCCTGGACTTGACCTCCAGCATGGTCTTCTTTCCCTTTCTGTACCAAGAAGGGTTCCAGGAGTGGGTCTTTCATCCTGGGGTGCCATACTAACTACCACTGCAGGAGGGTCCATCTCTACTGACTTTGTTCTGTGGGGCCGGAGAAATGAGGGTCTGGAGGGCCAGAGAAACTTTATAGGTCTGGCAGCTCCGCTCCTAACCTCAGCCACTCTAAAACGAGGCTGTATGCTGGGAATCAAAGGCAAGCAAGGAGAGAGGTCCCTATCCTACAGCTAGCGCAGCCTGTTCTTAGTAAGCTCTATGTAAGCTCACCCCAAAGCAGAGCTAGGCTCTTTCAAGCACCACACATCAACAAGAAATGATTGGGTGGGAACACAGCACCCCCCCATGCACGAAGCCAACACTGCCATTGAGTCAATGCCAACTCGAGTCAATGCCTATAGGGCAGGACAGGGTAGAACTGGCCCTGTTAGTTGCCGAGACTGTAACCATGTCCGGGAGTAGAGAGCCTCGTATTTCTCCTGAGGAGCAGCTGGGGACTTCAAACGGCTGATTTTGGAGATCGAAGTCCAACATGTAGCCACTGCATCGCCAAGGGCCTTTCCATTCCCTCAGCTAATGGTCAATATTGTCCAAAGTCATTATCCTTAATGTACAACTTAAATCTGGGGGGGGGGTGAACAATCACTGTCTTTCTGTGGTGCCCCCCACCCCTTGTCAGTCTCAGGCACTTGACCCACCACTCCTGACCTATCCCCGGGAATATCCAGAGCTTATGAAAGGGAGTGGGGGTGGGGCAGCAGCTGAGCTCTTTATGGGCTGGACCCAGGTAGCTACCAGCAGTGGATGGATGGTGGGAACCACATATAGGGACCAGGGTACAGCCAGTAAATGTGGTGTTCCGAAGAGAACTAATCCACACGAGACTCCATTAAAAGAATGTAGGGTGCTCGATTATGTGTACCCTATGATTGAAGCCAAACAGAAAAATGATAAGAGTCTAGAAAGAACTGTACTCACATCCTCAATACTGGCTATTCCTTCATAATTATTTTCTCTAATGAACATTTATTCCTCTAAAATGTTCCACTTCTGTTATTTTTCCAGTGAAAAATACAATGTAAGTTATATCTATATATCTATACATATATATATGTAGGTAAACCAATAGATGCTCCTGTCTTTCCTCTGGAAGGAGCCTACCAATTCCTGTCTGTTTTCACCTAGTTGCAAATTTCTACTGATGGAGATTCGTTTTGGCAAATGGAGACACGTGAAGCCAATAGTTCCACAAATCACCTTTTCTCTTAAGGACTGTCTTTTCCATAAGGACATGTAGCTTGACCGGCCTTGCTCTTGTATTAGTACAAAACATGCCTTAAAAACACAAAAGAGGAGGGAGCGAAGGAAGCATTTGACCTCAGGACCACACCAGAGCTGCGGCTGCTATCTGTCCAGGTCTTCTCTGCCCACTGCCACCTCCCCGGCCTGTGTTCAAGCTATCACTTGGGTCAGCTCGGTCTGAAGTTTGGGAAAGGTATGATCCACATTCCACCTCTTCTTTCAACCTGCAAATTGAACATCACCGAGCAACCATTGGTACCCCAGCTCTCCAGGATCCCCAGGTGGGCAGTATGGCATGGGCTCACCTGGGCAAATTGCTGGGCCCTCCTGTTCACCGTAAAGGAGTAGGTGCTCGGGAAGTGCAGGCTGACAGGTAACACGGAGACATTAAAGTGGAGGAGCAGGACACCTTCCCCCGGGCCCTGGAAGTCCGAGTCATTCACCAGTACAGCCAGTCGCAGGGTGCGGCTCTCAGTGATGGGAAGGCTCCGGTTGAGCACAAGCCCTGTGGGTGAGTTGGATGGAAGTGAGGGTTGTTGAGCTGGCACTGGGCCATGGGCCACTCCTCCTGTCCATTGTTCCTGCTCTCCCAGACACCCCCACCCCTGTGTTCACATGCAGCCCCGTCCACAGATGCCAAATCACCACTATGCACATTTCAAACATGCTGACCTGGGCACCCAAGGAACCATGTCAGTAGGGAAACGACTGGTGTGTGTGAGTGTGTGTAAGTAAGTGTGTGTGCACTTATGGGATCAAACTAAAGCAGATCTCAAAGCAAGGACCCAGGTGCGAGTGGTGAATATCGGGAAGGCAGTCCCAGGGCACACAGGTAGGGTAAGAGACAGAGAAGGAAAGGCCATTTTATATAAGCTATTCACCAAGTACACCAGCTCTGTGAGCACAGGAAATTAACCCCCTAGATTCTGGAAGCCTGGCCATGACAACCATCTCAGACTCCCCCACTCAAGGCATGAGAGATGGCCACTATCCACCAACTCCAATTAGCAGGGAGCTGCTGACAGCAGGTGTGCATGTGGGTTCATGTGTGTACGCGTTCAGGCCAGCTGTGGGTGACTCAGTAGTTTCTAGGATGCATGCCTGCATGGGTGGTGAGCAGAGTGGTGTGGTGAGGTCCGCTGAGTCTAATGTGGGAAGTTGAGGCAAAAGAGCAACATGTGAGATCCCACAGACCCAGGAAGGACTAGGACAGGCAGGCAGGAAGCTGAGCACCCAGGAAAATAGCCCCTCTTACTATATTCATGCACTGTGGCCCGCACAAAGCTGCCGTTGCGAGAGGTCAACGTCTCATTGGGTGTGTGTTCCATACGGAAGGTCTGGCGTGCCCAGGCATCCCCCGAGAGCATCGTGCTCGTATATCGCCTCAGGAGCTCCCCAGATGCTGGCACCACATCCGCATCGAAGACCCGAAGCGTGGCCACCACAGTGCCCTACAGAGGGCAGGGTACCACATCAGGGTGGGTGGCAGGGGTCCTTGGAGAACTACCCTCTGTCTGCAGATGGGATCCCTACTAGATCTTTCAAGGGTGTTCTGCATCCTGGCCACGTCCACAGGGGACCTGAACATGCGGCAGTCACTGCTTCCTCTGGGGACAGATTGACTTGGGCTTCAATCCCAAAGGTCTTCCCTGTATAAATACAGGACAGGTGTACCAGCAGGCTTTCCAGGGCTCACAGCGGCACATGCCCCAAAGCTTTGCTTACACGTCGTACAAGGTGCTCTGACTCTGAGGGAACTGGGCCAAGTGAGGAAGGGTCTGCCTGACATCACAGAGTAGCAGGACCTAAGTCCATGCGGCTACTAGAATATCCTCCTCTTAACAAAATGTGCATTCCTTCCACCTCCTCACCTACCAAGCCTGCCTCGGGGTGCCCAGAGAAACAGACAGAGGTCATACGTGCATGGGGAGTCCTGGCCACCTGCAGCACTACATTGTGGGCCTGACTGCAGGACAACCGAAGGCCCAACAGAGGGCAGTCATGCTCTTTTGCGGACCAGAATAGAGCCTGCACAGTCTGAGAGGTCCCTGTTGATCCCTGTCTCTATCCAATTCCTGGCCCTTCCCCTTTGAGAGGAAGACTGTAAGGATGGAAGGAGTACTCAGACAACAGGGCTGGGCTGTGTGAGGTCAGGTACACACAGGCATGCCCAAAGGTCTTCTTCACTCCCCATTCTACTTCCTTGCCCTAAAGGCCTATAGTAAACACTGGCAGACAGATGGGTAGATGGACAGATAGACAAATAGCCAGATAGACAGACACACAGCTGCTGGACAACTGAACAGAGAAATAAATGGACGGATGAAGAGACAGACATCCACAATGGCAGAATGGCAGGCACAGATGTAAGGATGGATAGGCACCTCCTTCCGTTTGAACTCCACCACTGTGCTGGCCGTGTCAAGTCCCCCAAGGAAAGTGGGTGGCGAGTCGTCTTCATCATACACAGTCACAGGGAAAGGTACCCTCACTTCCTCCTCTCTTGCGCCAACTCGCACTGTGCATGCGCCCACCAGCTCATACTTTTCCTGTTGCTCTCGGTCCAGAGCCCAGAGTGTGCTCACCTCCAGGGTGTCTGGGCTGCAGTGGAAGGGCAGGTGCTCACCTGGGACAAAGCAGAGCAGGATCTGGTGACCAAAGGAGACCAAGCGAGCTGCCTTCCTTGTGGGGAAGAGTGTGGAGTCCAACGGGGATGGACCAGTTCTCTGGCATGTTGGCCATCTGGCCCTGCCCCTGCCTCCTCTGGCCCACTTGGGCTACTAGAAAGGCAGAACAGAGGCCTGTGCTACACAACCATGGAGAAGGGCTGAGGTGCCTCTTTTATCAACTGATGCTGGTGTTCAGGGGTTCCCTAGACTAGCAACAATGACCGGGGGTGGGGGTGGGGGCACTGCTTGGGAGGGGCTCCAGCCTGACCAGGGTGAAGACCCAGACATCTAGGTATGGTCCTTTACCAAGTCATAAAATATATTGTTGGGTATTTTTAAAATTAGAAACCTACTAGATGCCCATTTTAGATAATGTGAGAAATAACGAAATCATCCACAAGCCGATTGATGGAAAAAGAACACAGTGGATGGGTATGTGCTCTCGGACAAAACTCACACACATTCAGCATATGTCCCAGGCCACTACCTCCTGCCGTGTGGTGGATTCGTGCCTCAGTTTCCTCGCCATACACTGGGGTGATGGTAGTCATGGTGCCCCATTTGGGCCAGCCATACTCTGCCTGCTGACATCGGGGACTCCAGTCAACTTTCAGAAACCACAGCCCACTTCCACCAGAGAACTGGCCAGAATCTATTCTCAGGAGAAAGCTCAAGCAAGGTGCACTTTTGGACACTTGGAAGTGCCATCAGTGACCCAGCTCGGCTCCCTCGCACAACCCAAACTTTCCACAGTAACAAACTGCAAAGCACCTTGGGAATGCTTACCGTGCACTGCTTCCCTTTCCTTTGCCTGAACACAAAACACATGTTTAGTACAATTTAAATGTGTGCATTTTCGTGAAAGGGGTCGCATGCCAAGCCACTTGCTGGGCTGACAGTTTTGCACAAAGGTCCTGAACCAGGGGAAAGGAGAGACGGTGAAGGGCAAGTGGGCAAGTGAGTTTTTGCCTGCACTCAAAATTTCTGCCATGCCATCCCCAGTCCTTGGGCAATCAGCCTGGTGTGGACCTCGTCCTACTGCTAACTAGCAGTTCCAGATCGTCTGCTATTTCCTCTCCACCTCCACTCTGTTTAACTGTGAAACTGTGCCCCCCCCAGGCTCCCCCACCAACCCTCCACCCTTCTCCTCCCTGCAGCTGCTCAGGCAGAACTACTGGCACCATCGCTCCTATTTCCTTGTAGCACCCAGCATCTGACCCACCCTGAAACCCAGCTGGCTCCCCCTTCAACGTTTACCCGAGGCTGCTGCGTCTCAGTTCCCCTCCTCGTCCCTTTGTTATCCCAAATCTAATTTCTCAGAAGCCTCCTGAATGCCTCCCTGCTTCCTCCTGAGACCCATCTAACCAAATCATTCTCAACATGGGCACGAACCTCCCTGCATGGTCCACATATGCTTCCGAGAGGGTAGCCCTAGCAGTTACTAAGGCCTGCCTTCTTTCTGAATAGCTCCGCCTTTGCTACCCTTTTCCCCGACTCCTCCTTGAAATAGGCTCTCCATTTTTTTTGTATCCTCCCCAGGATGGAGTCCTCTTTGCGTCCCCTGCCACCGCCCAAGCAAAGAGGCGCTAGCAGGCAGGGTCTCTGCCTGTTATGCTCATGGTTGTATCCTTAGCCCCTAGGAGGGAACCAGCCCGTGGCAGGCACAAGAGAGATCTTTCTGGACTATCCAGGGAAGGGGTGGCGCGTTGTTGGAATGAATGTGCAGGCCTAGCCAGCGGGCCATACTCACCCCCTAGAAGCTGGTAGACCACACTGATGTTGGGGCAGAGGGACTGCACAGGCAGCAGGCCGAACTGGTGGAAGGTGCCAGGGGGCTTGTTCTCCCGGATGCGGAAGGACAGGCCCTTCTCTGGGAAGCAGAGGTCCCTGGGTTTCAGGAACCCACAGGCTGGGAAGGAGGCATTGATGAAGGAAAAGTACACACGGGCACAGCCTGGCCACTGACACTCGCCCTCGCGAAGGGCAGCTGCTGAGAGGAAGACCTGGAGGTGGACGGTGAGCAGGGGGAAGCCGCCATCTGCAGAGAAAGAGCCAGGAGGGCCTGTGGGCACCAGGCCAATGGAGGGCAGGTTATGAGTTGCTGGAAAATTCAGTCCTTAGGGTGGCCTAAGTGTTCTGCTGAGCCAGTCACCCCATCCTAGCACTCCTAACCACCCTCTCATCATCTACGCCCACCCTGCACCTCAGGACCTTCAAGTCCTGAGACCCTGGTTCCTCTGAGTGAGCATCAGTATCTGACAGGCCACCTTTTCTTTCTTTTTTAAATCATTTTATTAGGGGCTCATACAACTCTTATCACAATCCATACATACATCAATTGTGTAAAGTGCATTTGTACATTCATTGCCCTCATCATTCTCAAAACATTTTCTCTCCACTTAAACCCCCGGCATTAGGTCCTCATTTTTCCCCTCCCTCCCCACTCCCCCTTCCCTCATGAGCCCTTGATAGTTTATAAATTGGTATTTTGTCATATCTTGCCATGTCCAATGTCTCCCTTCACCCACTTTTCTGTTGTCCGTCCCCCAGGGAGGAGGTCACATATAGTTCCTTGTAATTGGTTCCCTCTTTCCTACCCACTCTCCCTCTACCCTCCCTGTTTCGCCACTCACAGCACTGGTCCTGCAGGGCTCATCCGCCCTGGATTCCCTGTATTTTCAGTTCCCATCTGTACCAGTGTACATCCTCTGGTCTAGCCAGACTTGCAAGGTCGAATTTGAGTCATGGTAGTGGGAGCGGGGAGGAAACATTTAGGAACTAGAGGAAAGTTGTATTTTTCATCGTTGTTACATCGCACCCTGCCTGGCTCATCTCCTCCCCAAGACCCCTCTGCAAGGGGATCTCCAGGACAGGCCACCTTTTTTCGTCAATCAGACTTTGCTCAGGTGTTCCCTAAGAAGGCCACCCTGAGCGTCATCCCCCAACTCCCATTATGCCACTGCCCCTCCAAGAAAGCCACCCTGAGTGCTCCACACTGCCCATCACATCACTGCCTTCCAAGATAGGGCCAGAGTTCTGTATCTCACTTTCCCCTCCATCACATTAGTGTGCCCCCATGAGTTACCCAGAACAAGCCCCTCATCTCCTGCAGAGGGCCAGCTCCTCCAGCGCCTGGTCCTACTGTGCAGGATGCCCTGCCCACTGCTCCTTCCCTGGGTGTCTCTATTGCAGAGGCTCTGCTGACACACAGCCCATGGGCAGATACCACAGTTCTGGGAGGGAGGGTTTCCAGGTGGTTCCATTAGAGTCGCACCACAGTACCTTCCCCTCTGTGGATGTCTGGAACTCCACTAGAGGGCTCGCCCTTGGCCCACTATCTCAGTCCAGGGGTGGGGTGGAGCGATGCTTCTCACAGCTGCTGCTTCTACATTCCCTAGAGTTCTCTTTGATTCTCCTTAGCCTGTGCTTCATTGTCTCAATCCTCAGTTGTCACTAACAGTTCTTTATATAAATATCCTCTGTTCAAATTAAATGTGTTTTTTCTCCTGACTCAACCCTGAAGAAAATAGAGGCGTCTATCCGTTCACATAGAATAGAGCTCCCATGAAACACAGACCCACACACTCTGTTTTACAGCAAACACCACTAGAGCATCTCTAGCTCCATATGCACCCCACTGGGAGCTCAGGGGAGGGCAGCAGGGACTAAGGTGCTGAGACCCACTTCAGATGGCACCTCTCTGGCAAGCCCCTAGAGGTGGGGGCTGTCCCTCCACAGGCCCCTCTTGTGGCCCTGACTTTAGTTGGTACAGAGAGCAGTAATTCTACCTAGTAAGGTATGTTGCTTGCCTGGTGTTCATAGCATGCTGCCTCTCATCTTAGGCTTGCTGTGAGGGCTATGTGAGGCCACAGCAGGTACAGAAGGGACATAGGAGGTAAATGACACTGCTTGCACCATCACTCTGTCAAGCCAAAAGGCAGGACTTTGTTCTGCCCACCTTGTCCACAACCAGGACCATGTGTGGCCTAGACTCTGGCTAGACCCCTTTCCCAACCCATGGTTTTCTTCCCTTTCTTTCCTGGCTGGGAACCTCAGTATAGTCAACTCTTGCTAGGCCTCTTGTGCATGTTCCCGTGGCAAGAAAGTTGGTGAGGTTTCACAGGAACTGCTCTTTCCCCATCATGTTCAAGGTCACTTGTTAAATTGGAACTCTAGAATTTTCCTAGCTCTTCAGAACTCCATTCTTACAATCCCCAAATCACTCTTAAATCAACTGTAAAAGGCTACTAGATTTGACAAGTGGAGAGTCCCCAAACCATGCATATCATTTTCCTAAAATTTCAATACTCTGAGAGCCAAGGGTCACCACGCCACCCTAGACTCATCCTGGCTCCCACAGCCCACTGGGTACTGTCAGGTCAACTTCCCTTGGTCCCTTACATGCCAAGGCTTGTAGAGGAAATGCTGCAACATGGGCTGTGCTGCTTTACCTGCGCTTGTGGAAGGGGTGGGGATGAGACAGAGGTAGAGAAAGGTGAGCATAAGCAGGAGGGAGTAGAGTGTGATAGAGGTGGAGTAGGGCAGGGTGGGAATGGAGTAGGCATAGGGTAAGGTAGTGGGCGTGGGCAGGATGAGCCGAGGGTTGCTAACTCACTGCGAGAGCTGAGCTTCTCCCAAGTACTCTGGTCCAGACTTTGGTTCAGGTAAAGGAGACCCTTGTCCTTATGGATGCGGATCCAGGTGTTCTCATGGAGCCGAGAGCGGTAGGTACCATAAAGGTGCTGGCCCAGGTGGAAGCTGGGCACCTCACTGGGCAAGTCTTGAAGTGTGTGGACATAGAGCAGGGGCGTGCCGGCAGGTTGATCTATGTACAGCTTCTCCCAGTAGGCATCCCTTGAGAAGTAGAGGCCCAGTGGAGCTGCAAAGGCAGGAGCAACAAGAGGGTTGGGAGATGAGAGCAATGTCCCTCCTGGAGCCACGGTGTGCCTTCTGGGAGAATCCTGACTTGATCAGCCTCCCAGCCAGACTACCATTCCCACAGAAGCTTTATTTCACACCATGATTGAGGTTTCTTCCTTAACCACTAAGACGAAACCAAACCCATTGCTATGGAATTAATTCCAACGCATAGGAATCCTATAGAACAATGTAGAACTGCTCCATAGGATTTCTGAGACTGTAAATCTTTATAGGAGCAGACAGTGGCATCTGTCTTATGAGGAGTGGCTGGTGAGATGATCCACCAAGACTTCTTGGGCAAAGAACTCCTTGATTTAAAACTGTAATCCCAATAGGACTTTCTCATCTAAGTCTTTCTTTATAAAACAGTTTTATTAGCATATAATTCACATACCATATAATTCAATAGTTCAATCACATCAAGTCGCACAATCATCAAAACAATCCATTTTAGAACATTTTCTTTATTCTTTCTTTTTAAAATCATTTTATTGGGGGCTTATACAACTCTTCTCACAATCCATCCATCCATCATTGTGTCAAGCACATTTGTACATTTGTTGCCATCATCATTTCAAAACATTTTCATACTACTTGGTATCAACTCCACACTCCCCCCCCCCAACTGAACACTTGATAATTTATAAATTATCATTATTTTTCCATATCTTGCACTGTCTGATGTCTCCCTTTGCCTCCTTATCTGTTGTCCATTCCCATGGGGGGAGGTCATTGTGATCAGTTCCCCCTATCTCCCCCCACCTTCCCCTTCCCCTCCTGGTATGGCTACTATTAGCCCTGAGGAGTTTATCTGTCCTGTATTCCCTGTGTTTCCAGCTCTTATCTGTACCCATGTACATGCTCTGGTCTAGCTGGGTTTATAAGGCAGAATTAGGGTCATGATAAGGAGGGGAGGAAGCATTAAAGAACCAGAGGAAAGGTGTATGTTTCATTGCTGTTACACTGCATCTTGACTGGCCTGTCTTCTCCCCGTGACCCTTCTGTAAGGAGATGTCCAATTGCCTATAGATTGGTTTTGGGTCTCCATTCTGCACTCTCCCTTCCCCTCCCCCTCCCTCCAATTCACACTGACATGATATTTTGTTTTGGGTCTTTGATGCCTGATACCTGATCCTGTCATCAACTCACGATCACACAGGCTGGTGTGCTTCTTCCATGTGGGCTTTGTTGCTTCTCAGCTAGATGGTCACTTGTTTATCTTCAAGCCTTTAAGACCCCAGATGCTATATCTTTTGATAGCTGGGCACTATCAGCTTTCTTCCACATTTGCTTATGCACCCCTTTGTCTTCAGCGAAAGTGTAGGGAAGGTGAGCATCTCAGAATGCCAGATTATTAGAACAAAGTGTTCTTATGTTGAGGGAGTACTTGAGTAGAGGCCCACTGTCCATCTGTTTCCTCAATACTAAGCCTATAAATATATGCACATAGATCTATTTCCCCATTGTCATATAAAATAGATTTATATATGTACATGCCTATATTTAGACCTCTATGAATGCCCTTTGCCTCCTAGTTCTTTCCTATATTCCCTTTAACTCTCCTCTTGTCCCACTATCATGTTCAGCTTTCCTTTGGGTTTCAGTAACTCTTCTTGGTTACATTGCCCTTGATCAAGCCCTATCAGGCCTCCTACACCCTCCTTGACATTTTCTTTGCTCTTGTACTCATCGTTATTAGCTCTCTTTCCCTAACCCCAAATCTCCCTTTCCATACTCCCAAGGAACCATTATTCTAGTTACTATCTCTATAGATTTACCTTTCCTGGATTTCACATACAAAAAACATTAAACAACAACAACAAAAAAAGGAAAACAGATAAAAACCCTAAATTGAAGAGAAGCAGAAAAGATTAAACACAGAGCAAATTTAAAGTGAGTCAAATGATAATATATTACAATTTAACTTAACTGCATCTGCAGTACATTAAACTACAATTACGGTATTTGTACAAGTAAATCCTGCCTGAAAATGCACCAAAATTGTTTTACTATAGTAGAAAAATAAGATGGTTGCAAATCATTCTAAATTATGCAAGTTTGATAAACACATGATAAACACACTCATATGTTTGATAGACACACTTCAGTCATGCATGGACTGGAGGTCACATATGCTCAGGACAATTTATTCAGGTGTGTGGTGGCAGTGGGGATTCTACAGGCTGTATTAGTCTGGGCACATGAGAGAAACAAATGCACAGAAACTCATGAATAAGAGAGAGTTTTATATAAAGGTTAAGTGCACATCAAGAAAACATCCCAACCCAGTGCTGCCCAAACCCAGAAGTCCAACATTAACCCATATGTCCAACACCAATCCACAAAGTCCTCCTCCATCTCACAAAACACACATTATGACGCTGATTGCAGGAGGAAAGCTGAATCAGTGAACATGTAAGCATCTCAGCGCTGGCAGGGGTCTCTCCACAGGGCTGCTCCAGCATGCTGGGCTGCATTGGAGTAGGTCCATGTAGCTTCTCCTTGGGGATGTCTCACAGGAAGTGAGCCTTGCCAAGCAGGGAACTGGCACCCTGGTCTGACCATAACAAAGCAAGAGACCCAAGAACTAGAAAGGCGAGGCTCACTGAGCCATTTATCCCTCTGCCCTTCAATTAACCCTACATGTGTTTATCGGCCAGATTGGCACAATAAACTAACTACCTCACAGGCTAACCATGAATGCAACACTTTCTAAGATAATCAACTCTTGATGTGAAGTTAGGCACAGTTCATCAATATCATTGCTGTTACCTGCTGTAATGTTGCATTTCAACTCATGGCAACCCCATGCCTACAAGGAAATGCTCTCTAGTCCTAAGCGCCATTCTCACGAGGGGCTATGGATCAGGCTCTTGTGATCCATGGGGTTTCCAATGGCTGACTTTCTTCTCTTTCCAGTCCATCTTAATTTGGAAGTTCAGCTGCAACCTGTTCCGTGTTATAGTAGCTTCCACGGACAGGTGGGTGGCAGCTGCCCATGAGGTGCACTGTCCAAGGATCCAACCTGGGTCCCCATGTGGAAGGTGAGAACACTATCAATGAACCACTACATGGCCCACCAGTCCCATTGCATTCATGTAAGAGAAATAAAAAACGTGTATCTATCAAGCTATTTAATAAGAAAGGCAATTGGTCACAACAGCTGAGCACGAACAGGGTGCAGATGCCCTCCCATGGTGATGGGTAAATAAACAGTTGTTTATTCCCATCATAAAACTACTCAGCAATGATGAGGAAAAACCTGCAGCAACTTGACCTCACGTTACACCAGGCCGAATGGAAGGAACTGTCACACAAGAAGAATGCCGAGGCATGACTCCAGACTGATTTCAAGAGCTGCCTGGAGGGGAGGAATGAGCTTGGAAAGAGCAGGAGGATACTGAGGATGGAGGGAGGAAGGACGGGGGCGGAGACAGTGGGAGAACCACCTAGATGGAGGGTTTAACAGGATGTTGTTGTTGATTTCATTTCTTGAGATGGGCTGTGTGAATACGTATGTACAGTATGTACTTTAGAAAGCAAACCACCACCCCCCCAAAAAAAAACCCTTCCAGATTTTTTTATCCCTTAAACCTAGGTAGTGGTCTGAGTGGCTTAGATAAAAGAAGGAAAATAAAATTGAAATGGAGTTGGAATCTTTAGTGACAAAGAAGTTCATCTCAAACAAACAAACAAACAAAAACCCAAGAAAAAAAGAAAGAAGAGCAGCAGGGAGCTGGGAGACTACCTGGCTTGTGATGGGGTGTAGGCCACAAGGACCCACTGTTTGGCATAAATAATCCTTGTGTATTTCAGCCACTTAAACTTTACTGCAGAAAAACGACCACACGGTCACGGGGGTCATGTGAGGTATAAGCAATACACCTTGTTATAAAATGCTTCTACTTTGTACCTTAAATACGCTATAGGGAAACCAAAGACCACTAAGGCACTTTATGTTGGCTGATTCAGAGAGAGGGGCATGGTTCAATCAGTCACGGTTGAGAGTAGGCAATGGTTAATTTTCTACTGCTTCCTCCTCTTCTCTTTAAAAGCCCCATTGTAACTAACCGGCACTGAGTCACTTGTTTTAGAAACAAAATGGTTTCCCTCTGTGCATACAGAGTAACTGCTTGAGTAAACCATGTATGTGTGTGTGTGCCTTTATGTGTGTGCTTTCATGATGGTACAGTACTCAACATTTTCCTTAATAAAATGTTTATAATTAGGATTGTTTAAAAGATGGATAATTAGTTAAAATCATACCTTTAAAACTTGCAAATACACTCAAATGTACGTGCACAAAAATTCTAACACAAAGTCAATAGTAGGAATGAATTTACCTTTCTAATTCGTTTGTTTTCTTCTTCCGCTGCATCCTGAGGGGTTGTCTTATACCAGCTGCAGCACGAACTGAAGACAACACACACACACACACACACACACACACACACACACACACGGCAGCTCAGTTATGGACTCGGCAAACAATCAGATGCCAACCGGACTCAGGTGAAGAGAGCAGTTCAGATCATTTGGGATGAAGGGCTAAAACTGTAGGGACAAGAGAAGGCATCTCTCCCTCAGGGCCCTTTCAATGCATCTTGATTAGGAGCAGCAACGTGGTACTTGTTTCAAGTACTGGGTACTTGTTTCCCCACGTGTGGGTGCTGCCTCCACCATATGTTCTAGACCACTGGCGATTCTAAACCTTCCAAATGCCGCGACCCTTTCATACACTTCCTCATGTTGTGGTGACCCCCCTACCATAAGATTATTTTCGTTGCTACTTCATCACTGTAATTTTGCTACTGTTATGAATCGGGCGACCCCTGTGAAATGGTCGTTTGACACCTCAAAGGGGTTGTGACCCACAGGTTGAGAACTGCTGTTCTAGACCAAGAAGGTCAGAGAGAGAGAGGGAAGAAGAGAGGAGAGAGGGAAATAACCTGGGTAGGT